CATCCTACACATTTCTCAGACGACAAGAGTCTGTCGGGATTAGGGAGTTGCAGATCCTTCCAAGTCCGGACCCGGCTGAGTTCGGGTCTAATCTTTTATTTTTTGTTGGACTCGCTGGATCCTAGATGATATAACTGTACATTGAATTTTTTTCTGAGAGTAGCGAATAAATAGCTGAAACCTTGATCCTTCACTTGTTCATGTATACGAAGAGTGTCAAGTATTGATGGAAAAAAACCTCAGGTTTGAACTCGGTCGGTCCTGGGTCCATAAAAACCGGGACTCGCAACTTCCGAGTCAGGATGGTCTCGGAACTGGAAATTTTGAACCCGATAGGTTTTTGTACTCTGAGAGATGCGTAGGATGCACACTGGTCACCGAATACAAAAAAAACTGGAAAAAGTATCTCGAATTCTCGAAGTCATTATCCAATTTCATTGCGAGTATGAAAGTACAGTTCGACCGTGATGTGCTTTAATTTACAAATGAAAGAATGGTGTAGAAAATCTAAATGATTGATTAATCATTTACCAGTGTTACAAAAAATTTCCGAGGGGAAGGATGAGTGCGTATCCATATAGTGCTTTTCTTCATCTATTCAATCAATAAACTCACACTCTGAGTAGAGAAAACATCTGATTAGATGATGTTACAGAGCAAAGTAATTATTACTTTCAGAACTTATACCAATACATATGGACAAGTGACTATACACGTGCAAGCAAACAAATGTATTTTATTTTATAGAGGAAAAGTGAGTATCGGACAATCGTTCACTTGGATACAAGTGTCTGTACGAATAATTCTTCATTTTCCTCGAAAAAATAGATGTTGATTATGAAGAAGATAAACTCTATATAAAATAAGATTTTTAATAAACCTGATCAATAAATGTTAAATGACGTTGAATAGTAGCTTCATAATCATCTTTTTGTAATTGTAAACGATGTTCTAATTCACGTTCAGATTCTTTTGCATGACGAATATTTAATTCACGTTGTTGATTCTAAATATATAATATGAAAATTTTGAATAATTTTTTCTTTTACTTCAAGTTATTAATTTACTAATCGTTGTTGAAGAATAATTAATTGTCGTTGTTTTTCTTCATTATCCATTCTTAATTGTAAAACTGTTTCTGTGACATCATGTGCTGTTCGAGTTGCTTCGCCGTCATCATCATCATCATCAATATCTTCTTCAGCTGATTTTACTGGTTGAACAGCAACCATTAAAGATTTATGTGGTGTTGTAATCTATTTTTTACTATTTATTATTATTATTATTTTTTTTTTACAATAATATTTACTTTAGTTCCCTGTTTAGCCTGTTGATCAACCGATGGTGATGCACGATTTTGTGGTACAGCAACTGATTGTGATACTTTCTTTGGTTGTTGTTGTTGTTGTTGTCGAGTTGATTGAGGTGGAGTAGTAAAACGAACT